GGGGGGGGGGGGGGAGGGGGGGGGGGGGGGGGGGGGGGGGGGGGGGGGGGGGAATAGGGATGAATCGGATAGAGCGGCTGTTCTCTCGAGGTGGGTGGTGTCAGCGACGCGAGGCGGTAAGCAAGACGGATCACCACCCTCGAGACAACGTTACGAGACGAACGCACCACACCCCATTAGGCGTCCGTATACATCGCGCCGCTTATCGCGAAGAAGCCGCCGGAAACGCGGCGGAATTAACTCCGAAAAGTACCGAAGTATCTCGCCGGTGACGTCGAACCGCGGAACGAATCGAGGCGATGCACCGCGACGTCATATGGATCAAACACTAACTTCCTTTGAGTTTCAGTGAGCGCGTTGTGCTGTGTGAGAATATACATCGTCTTTTAGGGGTCTCAAACGATACGATCTGCGCGGCCGATATTTTATTCCGAGTTTCTTACGCAGAATGCCTCGACATTTTCCTCGGGGAAGCATCGAGGATTAAGCTAAATTAGCTAGATTTTTCATAGGAATGGAGGAAAAACGATGTATCGCGAAAGTGAATGCATGTTCTGTATGAAATAATACTAACTGTCGAATGTGTGACTCTTCGATCGCGAAGTATCGCGCGACGATTCTTGACCTCGAAGCGAATTTCCTTGGTGAACGCATCGGCGCAGCAGCGAACCAGCGTATCTCCCGTCTCGACGGGAGAGATACGGCTACAGCGAAACGCAATGAGAACGTGGCGAAACGTTACGGCCGCGTCACGTTGCGGATCATTAAACACAAGCAAATGAAGCGCCACCCACACGCGAGCACGCACGTAACGCACGCGACGTGGCTAGTGTTACGTGCACGTGCATCCTCGTAAACATTACCGCGGGATGCCGCGCGCAGTCTGCGTCCGAGGTAAAACGAGTAGCACCGAATCAATTGTCAGTAAAGTGATTTACGGTCGTCGCGTCGATCAATTTGCCGCTCGATGCGAGCCGTCGCGCGCTACCTCCGTACACACGTCTGTTCCAGCGTGACTTTCAACCCCTGACCGGATCGCCCGGCGCGGCGCCGCTCAAAAACAAATTGAGAAATCCGTAGCCGAGTGTCAGACGCGAGAAGGAGATTTTTGCCGCGCGATTTATTTCCGCGATCGATCTCCCGGGGGAGAAGGAGAGGAGACGTTCGCTCGGAATTCCGTTCTCTTCCGTGCGCTCGCGGTTACAGCCACAGGGTGGCTGTAATTACCGAGTTCCAGGACAACGCCAATTCGTCCTGTTGGGACGCGTGGAAAAATAGAAGAGTCGCAAAAGTACCAGAGAGATCACATAGGTGCGATTGTGAAAAAGAGATTTGGATGATTACACAATTATAATATATAGGATATATAGGAAGGGATGTACGATAAGGGATTGATTGCGGAAATCGAAGGGAATTGACGAACTCGAAAGGAGACTTCCCGCGCGGCGCTACACGTCACGGCTACACACTTAACCCTTTTCCAAGTTATTACGCGAATTTTTTGTCCCACCACATAGGCAACGAACATCGAATTAAGGAAAGCAATTACAGATAATGGTCCCGGCGGCACCCAGCGCACCGGTACCGCTGCGAAGGAGTCGGGGTAGAAAAGAGAGTAAAGCGGAACTGCAAAGGACAGGGAGGAAAAGGAAAGCCTATCTAAGAGAGATACGAATATACAGGGTGGTCATTAAGCAGCTGCAGCTTTCTTCTCTCCCTTTCTCTCTCTCTCCGTTGTTGTAATATCTCCCTCGTGCTCTCGTTCTCGCTCACGACCTCGTCCTCCCTGACTTTCTTTTTTCTCTCTCAATCTCACCCTCTCTCTTTCCCTCTTGCTCTCCTTTCATCCCTCCCTCTCTCACTCTTTCCCTTATTCGCTTTCTCTCACCCCTTCTTTTTGGACATTAAGCCGTTGCGCGTGCGGTAATTTTCCCGGGGTCATTTTTGCCGCTCTTCTTGCCCGATCGTTAACTTCACTTACCTCTGTTTACCCCCGTCGTCATTTTTCGTCTCTCCTTTCTCTCTGGTCTTTCCCTGCTCCATCGGCCCGTTCGTTTCATATTCCCATCCGGCTTTGCGCTCCTCCTCGTTTCTACGAGCTAGCCCGTCAGACGTTGTCGGGGTTCCATCTTTAGGTGTATATATGTGTATATGTGTGTGGGTGTGTGTGTATGTGTGTGTGTGAGGGCGCGCTAAGCTTTCCCTTCCATTTCCGTTTTTATCGCGTAACCTCGCCCGGTTATTTCGCGTCCCGGACGAGGCGGACGTCTTTTTTCACGGTCCAGCGGGAAAGAATAATTAGCACCCCTGTCCATCTCGCCCCGCACTTCCACTCTGCGCGAAGACATTTTCTCTTGTCTGCTCGTCCGCCGACGAGAGTAGTCCTTTTGTCGTCGCGAGGTTCCGACGATCACTGGCTGTTCCGTGGAAAAGACTGCGTCCCAGGATTTGACGGCTCCAGGCCCTCGAGACTTTAGATACAAAAAACAGAAAGAAAAAAGAAGAGAGTTAGACACGAGTTGAATGCCAAGTAATTAAAAAGTCGACCAACGCGCGATTGTATAAAGGATGTCCATGAAATGCCCGAACACGCCCTAATCGCAAACAGCGAGTCGCAATCGCGCTTCTTACGCAAGACGGAATAGGATTGATCTCGCGCGGTGGTGGCTCGGATAATTCGGTCGAAACGATCCCGCGGGGTATTTGAATTTAAACGGCATTAAAGCAAAGGGGCCGGGAGATAATGTAGCATCAGATAAAGAGTTCTATCGATGTCGGTGGCACACAATGCTTCCTACAATAATTGAGATTAGAGCTCGCCGACTCCAAAATCTCCGAGTCACCGAGAATCAGAGCCGATAAGCGTTTATTATGAACGAGACGCTCAAGATCCGCGACCCGGGCCTCGCCACAGGATCTTGTCCTTTCAACTCTGCTATGCAAGTGAACCAACCAGCCAGCCAGTCAGCGGCGGCCAATCTACTCCACAGCGCGGGATTGCGGTGGTAATTGCTGTCCGATTTCGCCCCCGACACGCACCATCAAGCGTGTCCATACGCGTAAACACGTACATGCGTGTGTACATGTAAACGCGGATATGCGCGCTGCATATTGCACGCAAATTCTAAAGGAAGAATCGATCGATCGGCATCGATCCTCTCTGAGCCGTTTCGGTTGGTCGCGATTGAGCGAGTGTGCAACGTTTATTCGTTTTTTCTCGACTCATTAATGTTATAATTATATTCTAAGGAATTTTTGTTGAAACACAATCTCCATCATCTTGCCATTTAACGGCACATAATTTGCAGAATGTTACTCAATCAGTCACGAAGAAATTCTTGCAAGAATATGGTAGATTTTTTTAAAGAGATCAAGTTACATGAACTGTGTTATACTTTTAATTGCAGCGACTTTTTCGCGTTTCCCACGTACACGCAACGCGCGTTTCTGCTGTAAGCTGATTCCTGAAACGTTAACCCTTTGCACTCTAAGGCCGCAGTAATCATCCAGAGTTTCTTGTAAAATCCGGGCAATTTCTCGGGGGAGCTTTTCGGATTTTAAATCAATCTTAAAACTAGCGCGGCAGGTGCTTTAAATTTAGATTTAAGATCCAAAAGATTTGCGAGATTTACGAAAAATTTGGAACAGCGCAGCTGCAGTGTCTTTGGAACGCAAATCAAAGGTGGAACATGTCCGCTTTGCGGGCTTGGGACTTATGTCTCCCTCGCTCCCTGGAATTTTCGCGGGCATCTTGCATTCTAGGAATAACGCATTCTCGACGGGATATTGGCTAAATGCGTCAAAGAGGATCTAAATCGAAGTCACTTCTCGACTATCCTTCATTAGCTTTGACGAATGCGTGCACCTATGATAGATGATCCGGAACAAAGGTTTCCCGCTACTCAAGTAGCACTGTTGATTTAGCGTGCAAGCTCCTCAAGTGACCGACGCTAAATCGGCTAAATTCGCTTCTGCATCCTCTCTCATCTTCTGCGTCTCTCATCTTCATATTCGCCGGTCTGCGACCTCGCGACACACGAGGATGAGGATGTCTTTCCAACACACGACTTATAAATGATCGCGGTACCGCCTAATACAGATTCTAACTCTTATTACTTCGCGGTTTTTGCATTAATAAAATTCGATCCCTGTTCTCCGGGAAACTCTCTCGCAAAATATTCGATACCGCATTGTTACAGCTCCGAATACAGATATCCTATGTCGTTCATTTTGCGTATGCTTTTGCATCAATCTCTCTCTCTCTCTCTCTCTCTCTCTCTCTCTCTCTCTCTCTCTCTCTCTC